GAATTTATTAATAGTGGTGATGTATGAAAGAGAGAATCGGGCTTGGTTTCCCACAACTCTCTAATTTCTTAGGGCTGGCGTTCCAAAACCAAAAACTATTCTGTTCTGTAAAATGAATGTATCAGATATGAAAATGGTCAAAAAAATCAACCAACACTGACATTTCCAATGGCATTTTTATGTCAACATTTTGAGAAAAGGATGCTTTAAAGATATACTTTATTTGAATTTTGGAGTGCTTGCAATACCACTTTGGAAAGTTGCTGAGAACTAAAATACAGAAAAATCAATTTTTAAACTTGCAGATCCAGATTACTATGTGGTGTAAATAAGTAAGGATAGTTTACAGTCTCTGCCACTTTCCTCCCACTGAAGATTTGGCCTGCGGGGTACAAAAGGAGAAACTCTTTGGGCTCCAAAGGATGTCTCAGTAGCAGATACATAGAAAAGATTGAATTTCACCTGGGGGATATATAGCCCCAACAGACAGAGATGTAGCAAAAAAGCCTAAGACGCATGTCCAGCCATTCAACCTGCAGATATTTTTATTGTACTCATTCAACATGATTTCTGCAGAGTTCCCAATCCTCAAGTGAGGAATGAGCAGGCAGCCAGTACCGTACACTAAGGATCCTCCATAAACATGTGCATGTTTCTTATTTCTTTATTGCTCTGTTCAGTATGATTCAGTGACAAACACATCTTTTTCAATTCGCAGTGTGACTCAGTGACAAATACAGCTTTCAACTCCTGGTATTTTTATTTTGTCAGATAAAACCAAACTCTAGGCTATTTCTGTGATGGCCTTCCTGCCCTGTACCTTTGTTAAAAAACATATTCAATTCCCCATTCCTATATCTACGAAATAGTTAACTCACCTGTACTGCAAATTACTAAATTACTAAATTAACTAAATTAATAAACTATGACTACAGAAATCTGTACTAATTGCATACAATTGTTAGTATGTGCAGCCTTTTTTGCATCTGCAGGACCCTAAATATTTCTCAGTGAAGGTGCAGTATAAATAGTTTATCCCACACTTGCCTTCTGTAGTAATCTTTTACAGACCCCTGAGAAGTAATTACATATCCCTAAGTGCTTGCGTATCATGGGTTGAAGACAACAGATACAGACGGGTACGTTCCCAAAATAAGACTCTCTAAGTGCTTATGTTAAAATAGAACTGAAAGGGCTCTTCTAGCTTCAAAGTCAGAAAAGTCCATCAGGGCAGGAGTTAAAGAATATCCAGAAGGCATTGCCCAGGTAAGTTGTGAAACAAACTTCACAAAAGCCTATTTCTGCAAATTAAAAAAAAAAAAACTATTGAATTGTTTAACAACCACTAAAGAAGCTAGCATTTAAATAAATGGTGCACTGACAGACACAAGCTACTATGAAATCAGAGAAAGGCCAAAATTAAGCAGTATCAGTAGATGAGATTGAGCCCTGTGAGAATCTTTTTCTGAAAGAATGTGAGTGGGTTCTGTTAGGAGCTGCTAAATCTGATGCCGTGGTAAATGCAAGGCTGCCACAGCTCCATGTCCCCATGTCCAGCTGGTATTGAGAATGATCACGTAGGCTTGCTTACGTGGACTGAATCTACAGAATTGTAAATTGAGGTTAATTGTTAATAAACAGATTTAAGGAAAATTTGTTGAAATAACAGTAACAAATTGCCAGTACCAGATGGTACTCAACCAAGAGTTCGACAGGAACTCAAATATGAAATCACTTAAACCAGCCTCAGGACACGCATCCAGGCGTGTATTCTGCTCACAGACATAAATTATATTTAATCACACTAGTCAATAAGCTACTGGAGACTAGAGGATAACTCAGCTAACTTTGGGCATGATTCAGTCTTCTCATGCTGTTTGAGATGGTCCAGAGTAACCAAGGCATCTGGATGAGACCTGTAAATTCTATGCAAAAGGAATCAGAAGGTTGTTCTCCCTTCCTAAAACTCTTCCAAAATGTTTCACTGCAGTTGCTTGTCCTGTAGAAAGCATGTGAAATATAAACTGTAACAAATGTTAGTGGCATTGCTTAATTCTCTACCAGAAGATACTTTGATACTAGAGAGACCTACAAGGAACAGAAATACAGATGCTATCCTACGTAAAATAGAATAAATTAAAGCAGTAGGGATGAGAGGAATGACAAGGCTAATAATACATTCCTGCAGTTACATGATCACAGTGATGTATACAATATCCCTCAATCATCTGGAAATATTTTAATATCAAATGAATAAAATAGTTTCCAATAACGTCCCTCTCACCTTTCACTCTATCTAATATGCACCCAGTGGCATCTTGTAGGCTTTTCAGCCACTAATCTCATTCCTCATTTCCAGCTGACAGTTTTCCAAGCAACATTCTGCCATCTCTGTCAGCATGTTTACATAGCACAAATCCTATTTAAATTACCTTTATTTAAACGTAACTTTTGGAAAAGAAACAATATATAAATGCTGGTGTAGTTCTGCAGAAGGCACAATGAAGAATTTTGGAAGAGCAATCCAGAGATATTTTATACTGGTTGGAAACATTTAAATTTAACACTGTAACATGGAATTAGGATAAACACAACTACAGTATGATCTGAGGTAAACATATGGAAAATATTTTAGCAAAATGGTAGCAAACTATTTTTTAAAAAATCCTCTATAGGTCTGTATGTTCAGATGTTTTTTCAGTTACTAAGACCTCATTACAGGACTGAATCACACAGAACACAGATAACATGATCTGGCTGTTATTTTACGTCTCTCGCTCAGTAACCCAAACCCCCACCCCATGATCTCTACATAAAGAGAGTTCCTGAAAAGCAGTTAAATCAATGCAAATCTTTTTTGTCATAAGCAATGATTGAAACAAATGGGAATACAGTGGTAAAACATTGCTAGCATTTCAGAGTAATATGCTTATTTACTGACGCTGCGAAAGGACAAAATAGCAGAGAAGCGTGAGTTACGAGGGAATGCAGGTCTGGAATAAATTTGGATAACCACACATAGATGCCTATATATGATCTAGGTGTCCAAGTCACTGGACACTGTCCAAGTCATTACAGTCATTGGAGCCTAGACAGCAAGGCAGCCCACTTGAGGTACATAGGAATGGATCAAGTTGCCTCAGGACAGGCATTTTGCAACATTTGTGATGCCACAGTGTACCTAACACATTTACATGGGGTTGGGCAGATACAACAGAAGATATGGCTTTTGGGAACCTGTGCTTTTCTGTCATGGCACCTGAAGATGGCACCAGGCACTACGTTTAGACAAATGAATTCCCAGTAGTGGCTGGTCAGTTAAATAGTTCAAGGCTCCACAGCTATACTGCCCAAAAGCTCATTTCAGCTGCCAAGCACAGACATAAACTGCCCTTTGGGATGCCCTACAGTATCCTGCCTGGACTCCTACTGCCAGTCAGGAAGGGCTTGGCTCTGTTGTCTTATCTACAAACCATACATGGATGTCTAGATGCCCTCATACGTCTCAAATCGCACCAGCACCTACATTTAAGCAACTTATTTGAGCTCTAGATGTTTTATAAAATTTCACACTGATATTTTCTGAGGTTATGATTTAGTTACCCTAACACAGACACCTACTGCCATTTGCAATGCCCTTTGGTTTCTAAGACATCTATAGCTACAAAAAAGGACAGAGGATCTACAGGAGACCCAAGTCTTTCTTGGACCACAGCCAGTGAATGCTGGGCAAGATATCCCACAGTAACTAAAATGACAATATGTGCCTATGTGTGAACAACATACCCTACGCCTGACTATTCAGATTGATACTTCTTAAGTTCTATTCTGACTGTTGTTCACTACTTTGTCTATACGCATCAAATTTATTGCAAGAGCAGGGCTTGAAACTGGAGAGGTATGAAAATTATTAAAGCTTAAATTATTAAATAATATTATCTTCTTCCTTTATAATTGCTGTTTCATTCACATACAAACAAACAAAACAAACAAAATGCTCACTGATGCTTTTCATATTTTTGAAGTTAATCTCCCTCCCACATACTACAGTTCGTAAGTATTCATTTCCATCCTGACAAAGATGAGTCTTTGAAAAAAGGAAAACTGCATTCTTGGATCCACTTTGTATTTTACACTTGTGAAAAAGGAGCTTTGTCTTACACATATCTAAGACAAATACAAAATAATCTAAAATATGAAGTGATGGCTATGATGTGCATTTCTGTCCAACCTCTTTGAAATTACTTGCTCGTCACATGTTAGAGGAGAATAATGGAATTTATTTGACCCAATCATTAGCCAATATTTTAAAGAAACAAACAGATATCATGATTTAAAGTGCTCACAAAATTTAGGAACCCAAAAGTCAGGCTTAAAAGGGCTGGGGATCACAGAAGTAGGAATGTTGCTGAAAGTCAACTCTTAAGCATACAAGTCAGTAACAGCTAAAGCTAAGAGGGAATTTGACCATACATATGCTTTTGCTCATCCTATAGAATATATAAGGAAATACAGATTCAAATTCTTCTTGAGTTCAAGGAGGCTGAAATTAATCTTTCCCATCTATAGCTACAATCACTCTGCTTGTGCTAGAGGACTTTTAGACCATTCTCGGCTTCTTATTTGTTACAGAGGGGTTTTGGTGGATCATTCCCATGGGCTTTTTTACATGACTTCTGACTAAAATGTATTAACTGGAACTTCAGTGGGAACTCCTCGTTGCCTTTGTACATTTAGAATTTAAGTCATTTACTAAAGCATCTCTGAAAAGATGTAGAAGCCTAACTTTAAGTGTCAAGTTATGAAAAGTCTTACAGTGGAAGTGGGATTTTTCAGAAGTGCCCATGTGACTCAAGTTTGAGATTTATTATCAAAGAAGCTTAAGCTCTTGGAGCATACCTGACAGTCTCAACCTAATTGCTTACCATTCCCTGGATAACTTCAACAGAACAATGAAAGTAAATACTGCATTAAGGCAGCTATTTATTCTTGTGATGTAATCGGTGATGGGCTGCATAACACTGAATTAGCAGGACAATATTGCTGTAGTCTTTATTGATACAGAAAATGTAAGTTACAGAACATAAGACAAAACCACCCTCTTTCTTACCCAATATTTGAGGATAAACAGTTAGAGACAAGAAAATGATCCAGTTACTTATAGTGCGGCTAATGATTAAATTACATTAAAACTGTTAACAATATCATATTGTAAAACATAAGTGCACATACAGTGCATAAATATAATACAATAGCTTTCTGTTCCTTGTAAGAACATAACCCAATCACATACATTTTTTCGGTTTAATTTAGCTTGTGGTAAACTACATTTCCATCTTAAATATATATGTAAACCATATCCATTAAATCTGGAGTTTCACTCCCTGCATCTTTGCGTACAATTCATATTACAGTACTTTAAAATCAGAATGAACACTCTTATTATTCAGAAGAGGTTTCTGCCAGATCTATCATTTTAAATCTTTGGCATTTTTTCACAGGAACACTCTTATTATTCAGACGTAGCAGTTTTTCACTAGTTTTACTAATGACATTTTAGTCTCATTTAAAGAAAGATACTCTATCTCACTCTTTCTGTTTGAAAGAGCAGGCCACACAAATGCCCTGTCTGAGTGTTAAAATAATGGAAACCCTACACTGTAGGAGAAAATCAACATTGTGTAAAATATATTAATAAATATTTTAAAGACTTAAAAGATATACCTCCATTAGACAGGACAATGCTGACCCACTGCATAAAAACACTTCATACCTGGTGAATTAGTGGCAACACGTCTGAAAACCTGCCAGGCTTGACGGGCTGTTGCCCCATCAGACATGGCAGTAAGATAAGCAAAGCATGGTGTTTGAGCCAGGATATCCAAAGCTTGATGGCTAAAATTAGATTCCCCGGACCTATCAAGCTTCTAAACAGGTCATCTGACTTTCAAAAAGACAGGCTGCATTCATTTGGGTTCCCTGGCCACCTATTTAGGTTGTAGGTACTTAGCTCAGCAAATCTTCATCAATAATATCACATTCTTATTCACTTGCACTGGCCAAAAATTACTACCAAACACTGAATTGGTCCAGTGACTAGAATTCGAGTTCTTCTGCATGCTGGCAGAAGCACCATCTCAGAGGTGTTCACCAGCATACAGTCAATGAAGAACAGATGGTATGAATGGACTTCATAATCCTTTATTCTCCAAACACACATAGGTAGAAAGATGCAAAACTAACAGGAAGAATAACTTTCATTTATATTCTATTGGTACTACTAAAAATATTTTCTGTAGAAATATATAATATCAAGTAAAATAAGCTTAACAGAAATATATTCTACACTGTATAGTGTACAGTTTCGGTAAATAATAGATTTATTGCCAGACTGAAACACTTAACTTCAATATGCCTCTTCACACAGCTCAGACTGTGTGACTAAAAAAGCTTTAAGCTGAAAAGCTGAATTTACCTTTTGCCTCTCAGATAATTACCTTTGTTTGCTCTTTAGTAGCACTTCCATATGAAAAGTTGGTAATATGGCATTATAACTGCAGACTCTCAGTCCTTTAAAGTGCCTGCCGAGTATGTAATTTTGTGCAGGCTAAAATGAAAATGAGAACACTCCTTAGAACTAGTGTTTGAAAAAATACATGCAGTCCAAGCTTCATGCTATACTGAATCCCTCTATCAGAAAGGCTTTCATGACAATTGAGATGAAAGGGCTCTAATATCACATAGTAGATGACTGGGGAAATAGTCTGAAGAGAAAGAATAAATAAACGTGTGTGTGTGTGTGTGTGTGTGTGTGTGTGACGGGATTATTTTAGCACTATAATGCTGACACAAAGTAGTAGATTTCTAAGAAATACTCTGAAGGCAACTAAAATATTACATTTATTCCTATCTTTATTTCTATGAATATAATAGAGGGGTTTTGGTATATCAGATTTCTTGGAAAAATGTTATAAACCCCATAGAAAAAGGGGTTTCTTCCTAACAGGAACAAGTATGATAAATTCAGCTCCGTTATTTTACAAAATATAGAGTGTTTTTAGGAAAAAAAACCAAAAACACGGCTTGGCATTTGGAGTGAAATTCAGCTATGCAGTGTGAGCCAGAAAGTCAAAAAAAAACCCTGAAAAAGTAGTATTCCTGTTGGGGATTCAAAGAGTGCACAGGCTTGCTGCAGAAAATTGATTTCCACCTATTCACCAATTTATCAACATGCTCTTTTTCTCTTCCAAAATGGACAAAAGAAGCAAAATACAGTAATGAGCACGTTAGATCCTATTTAAGGCAGAACATAAGCATGCAAAAATAAATGTTATATGTTTCAATAGAAATATAAACAGGCAGTCTACAGACTTCTAGCAATAGATAGAAAAATACAGCATTTTATACATTCATACAGTTGCAAATAAGGATAGCGCCATGGAGTAAAAAATGGTTTAGGATAGGAGTTACCAAAACATACAAAAATAAACTACTTATATTTGTGATGTTAGATGTTTTTGCATCATTGAGTAACATTGCTCTGATAAATAACAATATTCTGTAACATTGCATTCAAAATCCAAAGTTGATAAATTACTTTCAAAAAAAAAATTGTTTTCACATGTATATCCTACATCTCACATAAAATTGTACCTTGCTACTTGTACCTTCTATATTCCTACCATATAAACTCATGTACCTTGCTACAAAGTACCAGTAGTTGAAAGTAAGTCCTGAGATAACCCTCACCTTCAGACAACCTGCAGGAGGTGTTGGGCTCTAGGAAGAAAAGACTTCAAAACAGAAATCCTTCGTGCCCCTCTAAACTCACAGTGCTGCGGAATCACAGTTCTTTTACAAACAATTGCAGCCTATACGTGTGAAAGCATGGCATAAGCTCCTTTCTAGAAAGTAGTGCCTGATCCTTTCCTCTCTCATGTAAAAGTTAACATCAGGAATCCTTAAGCTGCTTGGATCAGCCAGGCCGCTGCGGCTTTCCAGAGCTCCACTGATGCCACTTCCCTGGAGCAGTTCATGGTACAGGAACACACAGTAACAGATCATGAAAGATGAGGAGAAAGCTCCTGAAGGAGCTGCATCTCTTTTAGTCTAATAGAAGATACAACCTTTACCTCTAAACCTTGCCTCTCTGCCTGTCTTGTCCACCCTTCAGCTTCAATGTTACTTCAGTCAGTTTGAAAAAAAACGCCTTTATGCTTACTGGCCTCTAACCCACCAAGAGTGGTGGTCTGTTCTACTCGTATTAACAAAGCAGGGCTTGGTCCTTCCTATTGCTTGAAAAACTTGCCCTGGAGCCAGTGTGAAAAGACTGAACAAGAATCACAGTCATTCTGCACAACACACTGTGCTTCCAGATCTAATAATTCCCAGGAACCAGACCTAGGCAACTACAATAACCCAAAAGCTTTTGCAGGGCAAACGTCCAAGCGCACAGAATGGTGAAAAAAATATCAAAGCTTTTAATTTCTAAAACTACAGTATCTCTGGTTCGCTGGGGTGCAATTCACCCCTTCAGAGAGAGCCAAGAGAAGGTCTGTACATCACTAAACTCCTACTCAAACCCTGACAACAGAGTGCCTAGTGCCTAAATTGCCGTAGTAGTGCCTAGACCTTGTGTCTCAATGTGGTGAATAGACTGAATTACACTTTTTATGAGGAGGAAGGCAGCTTGACTTCCTTATGAAAATTCTTCTTTTCTTGCAAATAATCTAAAATCACATTTCCTTCCAATATATTTCTTAAAAAGTTCTGACATCAATTCCGTTTTTTGCTAAATGGGCAGACAAGATTGAGAGCAAAAGGGTTAATTCAGATAGATCTGAAGGAATGATGGAAAGAACAAACAACAGAATAACAGAGATGCATGCTGTTTTTCAAAAAGTCATATAAAACACACTGGAATTTGTCCCACACATAGGTTTTCCATTCATCCAGGATTTCTTTTTACCAAACAGACCGTACGGTCAGGAACAAAACGGTTTGTGGCACCTGATTATTATTAGAAACCAACCACCAAGTCTGTAGCATTCAAATCTGCAGAGATGCTCTCTGTTGTATCAACTAGGACTGTGGATGCAGGATAAATGATCTCTTCAACCGTCACATATGTCCCTGTTAAAAATCCAACAACTCCAATGATAGCTATAAAAATATCTTTAAGTATTGTCCACAGACTTAAATTTTCTTTGTAGAATGTGAGGATTTCAACCAGAGGAGGCAGAATCAATGCCAGGGTGCTGCTGCTGACAGCTCCAACGAAAGAAATCACCAGGTCTAGGCGAGGGATCAAAATCGCTACAGCACCTAAAAGACAAGAAAAGTACTTGTGACTTCAGATTCAACATCATAACGAAAAACAAAACTGTGACAAACACATAACCTAGTGATTGCTTTTAAACAAATTTTATCATCCACTATTTTTCCAGATACAAGAGGTATATACGATGTAGATTCATGCATGTGTTTCTGAGAAAGACACATTTTACTGCTGATGTGAAACTCAGTTTCAATTTTGCATTTCTGCATGAGTTTGCAGAGCTTCAACTTACAGACTTCTTGCACTTATAGCTTAAGAAAATTTGGCCTGCAAAACAAAGACATGAGAAATCTGAAATTATATGGAGACATTTTTACTTGTTGGTGCTTTTTTAATGGAAAGAACAAAGTTCAGGAAGGACAGTAGAAAGGGAAAGTTGTATACTTCATAAGCTTATAGTGGGCAAAAATATATTACTATAAATAAAATGTAAAAAAAGATCTCCAAAATGGACACACAAACTCCAGGCCACTTGCTATTCTCACAATCCTTTCAGCAACTTTTATCTACAAACTTGTCTCTTAAGCAATCTTGGTCTATACAGTTGTGTTCATCTTGCAAAATGCCCCTTTAATAACTGACCAGTTAACTAAATGAGAACTTAGTTTTGGCAACAGGTGAGTGTAAAAACAAGGTACCCAAAGCCTTTCAGCATGGCATGGCTGGTCTTACCTCTGGAAACTACACCATTCTGTAGAAAGAATTCATCCTTATAAGAGGACCAGAATCTCTTCTGGTTTTACCCCCTTTGGCTGGTAACTCCAGACAAGAAACGCTAGTATTAATTTGGATATACCAGTTTGTCTTTTAATTCTTCCAAACCTGTATTAAGAGTTTTCAGAGGCCAGCTGAGCACACGCTAGAATATGACCCTGTGTGTGAGGTGCAAACAGCTGTATTTTTCCCACCCATGAATATATCCCCTTCCTCCTGGCAGACATTCACTTCTCATCAAGACAAGGAAGCAATGTGGAAGAAAAGGCATGGGGAAATCTGGTGGAAAAAACATCAGCACAGCAAAAAAAAATGTGTAATATATTTTAGTTCTTCCATACCTGCCTTCTTAAATCATAAACCACCATAAAGTCTTAATGCGTAAGAAAAGCATGTTTGGCTTTGGAGCAACTCCTCCCCCAACAAAATATTATGGAAATAATGTCTTTGGCAACAAAAAAAAATGAATCAACCAGGAAGGATATCCTCACATAGCATGTGAGGATGAAAACTAAAAAGTACCTTTCAGCTTTAGAATTTCTCAAGTCGAACTTTCCATTTGCAGAGCATCTTTGGTGTGGGCTGATTGACACCAACTGCCTTGAATTCTGAAGACAGCTCATTATGAAAGGCAACATACTCAAAATACATTAGTGTTCATGTTTTCTATTGAGAGTATCTAGCCTAAGGAATTCTGCATTGGCAAATATGCTTATGACAACAAAGACACAGGTTAGTCAGTGTACGTGCTACAGCACAGTAGGGACTTTGTTTGGGTCCCAATGTGGATGTCACTTGAGCCCACCATGTAAGTCTTGCTATGAGCTTGCCCTTTGCTAGCTCAAATTTCTTTGCACTTCCTATTCTGAGATAAGCCTGTCTGCAGAGAGAGTTCGGTTCTGTCTACCCCGTGGTGAAGACAAAAACAAAGTTCACATGTAAAACATACAGCTACCGCCTGCTACTATTACACTTTCTAATAAAAATTGCATTCATATCACGTAAAAGGCAGGTATGACCAAAGGTGTGAGCCCACAGAAATATAAAGAATAAAGGATTCGCCAACCCATCTTGTTTGCAAGAATCAAACCATGCACACATCTGACAAGAACAATCTATTAACTGCTTGTCATGACTATAGTTTATGAATACCTTGTGAATTCTACAGAGATATGAGAGACATCACATGGCCAAAGAAGGCTTAGACAGAGGGTATCCTTCAGAAGAACTCAGGAACACCATGACACTGAACAGTAGATAGCCAAGTGTTTTATTCCACTGTTATGAATGACTACTCAGAAAATCAAACATCATAAACTGTTTCTTCCATTACATGGAGGTGACATTTAAAGACTGAAAATGCCACATGTTTATACATTATCTAGGGCAAAGCTGAAAGGAATGAGAAAGAAATTATGCCAAAGTTAATAATAAGTCATAAAGAACCCACTTCCATAATTTCAGTGGTCGTAACTCCCACTGTTGCCAAAAGAGTGGACACCATGAGTACCCAAAAAATAAAGAATGAGCGCTCAGACAAGGATGACTGGCAATCATACTTGATACTTACACAGTAACACGCAATGTGTAAGTAACTGAAAACTGGAGTTGAAGTATATTTGCAATGTTTGGTAAAACTCTTAGCTAATGAGTATGTTGAAAACTTTGAAGCAGAAGAGAGAGCTGCACATTTATTATCCTGCTAATTTAACAGATGTAGTGGGTGTATGCATTAAATACAGATGTTTAACTTCTGTAACAGACCTCTCTCTACATGTACGTCCACAATTAAGCAGATATTCATTAACTTTACAGTTCATAGTTTTGTTTGAAATGTTCTACTTGATTACAAATAATGAGAAAATTTTTCATACTTTTAAGTTGGAAAAAAAAAATAAAACTACACAGTTCATAATTGCTTCATATTACAGAAAAGCAAAGTACTGTGCGTTGGTTTGGATCTTGTCAAATGTTTGCCTGGCTCTTATGAATTCCTATGAATTTGAATATTGCTGTGGGAGGGAAAACCCACCTTGAAAAAGTGTCTCAGGGGTTATTTAGTGTCTTATTTTGGTTTGTACTGATCCAACAGAACTATGACTCATGCTTATTTTCTGCCAAAGAGTATCTTCAAGGGTTAAGAATGCAGCCAGGTTTCCAGGAGAAGTAAACAAGGGGTGTTTCTGCAGGCAGAGAGTCTGAATTTCCCTGCCCTACTTACACTTAAAAGTACAAAGTCAAGAAGAAATTTTAAACTTTGAGTAAGAGTCATGAGACACTCTGTTTTGGAAGCTCTGGGAATCCTAACTGAAAAAAGGAAGTCTTACAATATTAATATGAGACTTACTTTTTGGCCGACAGTTAAAACGTCTTCAGGCTCCAATGAAGGAGCAAGAGCCATATGAACAAAATATCTCATAAAGATAACAAGAGACTGTAACATATTGCTTCTATCTGAAACTCTGCTGTCTAATCTCAAAAACTACCAATGCAGGATTCTGCAGACTGTCACAACTATACTGTAACACATTTGCGTGGCTGAGGCTTTTTTTTCGGAATAGTACAGTAGAATGTTTTTATTTTCTGAAGGGCCATATCATTCCAGTGGAAAGATATCCTTAATTTTATTGTTTTCTTTTCATAGAGCAAACTCTTTTATAATTTTCTCCCCTTGTTACAAAATCAGCAAGTGATTAACCAGATTTACTTGCTATGGTAAATTTCAGTGAGATCACTGGGAGCAAAACCAGTTTCTCCATGTCATTACTACTGGCCAACTGAAGTGAATTAGAACTGCAGCTGAAGTCAAAGGCGTGATTACCATATTCCAGTACTTCCTCTAGTAATCAAATATTGGACTACCTTATTTCTATCAAGAAGTATTTCATATGTCATGCTACATCCCACATAATGAGCAAAATGAGCACTACTGTAACTAGGTTCTTTATATCTACATAAAAACTAAATTATGATTTTCATCCTGTCCATATATAGATCAAAAGAAAAACATATTATGACCTCATCAGGAGATTTTAATGACACAGTTCACTTAAATAGTCTTTTTTTTCCCTGTTTCTAATAGGACTGACTTTATTTATAAGCATCTTGTAGGAAGCTAGAAAGTAATTTTGAAGCTTAAAAGGCTATTAATACTGATAGCTACTACCAAATTTTCCTTTAGCCCCAATAATAACGCTAAGTTTAATATTTCCTTAATAAAATCCTAAAAGAAACTAGTTGCCAGATATTGCCAGATGTTACATTGTATTTGTCTTTGGATGTTTAGACATAATTCTGATGGAAACCAAGTCAGAAGTATTTATGCATGTGTGTTTGAAGAAAATAAGTAATTCATATCAAATCAGAACTATGGCCTGAGCAATAAAAATTGTCCTAACCACAAATTTTATAAAAGTACATGGTCAAAGAGATTGGGGACTTCTTAAATGTGACAAGGAAGAGCTGGAATGACAAATCACGGCTATTACCAGAGAGTAGTAGCTTCACACAGCTAGAGAGCAAAATAATTGCCTCAAGTGATATACAACCAGTGTCCTTCAAAGAGGCAGAGAGTGCTGAAGAAGTCGCTGTTCCAACTGCGCTAATTAAATGGAAGGGAACCACTATCCCCCAAATGCCATTTGCTGATGTTGCTGCAGTACACTAGAGCTTGGCTTCAGGGGCAAAAAAACAACTGTTGATACTGTACATTGCTACCCAGATTTCTACAGGGACTCATAACAGATTATCCAGTGTTGAACCTGCATCATTACAGGACATTTGGAGGACAGTATTCCTCTCTATTTGGTCAATGGGAATGATGAAATCGGAACTTGGAAATGGGATTGGAAAGCTACTGTCCAACTGAGGCTTGTGGTACATACTCCAGCTCCTATGAGATCTACCTTTTCTTAACCCAATTCCTCCTTCTCAGTTTAAATAAGTTAATGGTCTTTCCTATTTAACATTATCATCAATTACAAAGTATCCTATTGCTTCATGGTCTATGCAGTCCTCCTGTACATGCTAACAGCTAAAGTAACTGGACTCACTCTATACTAGGAAGTTAATGAACTTGCTTAGATATTCATCTTTCAGAGGTTGTATAAATCTATAGATTGAGCCCTGAAATGGCATCTGGGTACCTTAATCAAACTTATTGCAGTAGTACATAAACCTCTTCCTGTTACAGTACATTCATTGTCTAGGAGGAAATTCACCTGCTGACAAAACCCTCTGTGATGCATGACAGTATGTCAACGATGGGATTCAT